TTTTCTGCCATGCAAGCATACAGATAGAATACTGCATAATAAATTTATTTTATGCATTTTAATAAATAATAAACAAACAAACAAACAAAGACAGACAGGTACTTCTACAGTTTCTCAGAGTAGTTGATCTGACATTTGAGATGTGACTCTGACCTCTAATATATGCTGCCTTTAACTTTTTTTTCCTCGGGACAGCGTTTCTCTGTATAGTCCTGGAAATACTGGAGCTCACTCTGTAGACCAGGCTGGCCTCTAACTCAGAGATCTGCCTGCCTCTGCCTCCCCAGGGCTGTGATTAAAGGTGTGTACCATCACTGCCTAGTGCTTTTAACTTTTTTTGACACAGAGTCTCATTATGTGGCCTGGGTTGATGGCAAGCTTGAGATCTGTCTGTGTCAGCCTCTTGACTGTTGGGATTACAGGCAAGAGCCACTAAACCTGGCTGCAAATGATTTTTCCCTCTTTGGTTTGAGTTTTATAGTGTTTATAATGTTTATAATGTTTGGAGAGATTTTTTTAATGGTATGTGTGTATTTTTACGTGTGCATTTTGTTTTGTTTGAGACAGGGTCTCTCTAGTCACAGATGGCCTGGAACTCGAAAAGATTTCTCCTGTCTCAGCCTCCTAATTGCTGAGATTACAGGTGTTGTACCACCACGCCTATCTTGAGTGGATGTTGTTAAAGTGTGGACATATTCTTCAATATCATTTAGTGATGCCTTTCTTTCTTTCGAGGCTTAGAATGATGCTCCTCATGGAGAAATAAAATTCAATTCGTTGAACTTATGATCCTCATATTTCTACTGCCCAAGTGCTGGGATTACAAGCACGCAGCACCAGGAAAGATTTGTATGGTCCTGGCGATGGATCCCAGGACAAGCATTCTACTAACTGATTTACATACGCGCTTCTACTTTTTTTTCTTTTTTCTTTTTTGGTTTTCCAATACAAGTCCTCACTATGTAGCTGGCCTGGAACTCACTATTTACACCAACCAGCCTGGCCAAAACTCACAATGATCCACCTGCCTCTGCTTCCTGAGTGTCAAGATTAAAAATGCACTACCAAGTTCTATCCCACCCCCACTTAAAAATTTTAAACATTTTATGTGTATGGTTATTTTGCCAGTGCAGTGTCTGCAGAAGCCAGACAAGTTCCAGGGATTCCCTTGAACTGGAGTTAGAGACAGCCAGCTGTGAGCTGTCATACGGATGCTGGGATTCTCTGGAAGTGCTCTCAACTGCTGAGCCATCTCTCAGCTTCTCCCAAGCCCTACATGTTATATTCCCGCTTACTCATGTGGAAATAACCTTTCTACAGCAGGAGTTTGCACTCACATCTCTAACGTGTCAATTCTCCTGGTGTAACTTGTATAACCCTGCCCTTTTCTGCTGGTGTTTAGTGTCAGTGTTATTGTGCACTTACCCCCTCCCACTCCATGTATTCTCCCTATTTTCTATAATCCGTATGCATTTCTTATACCGGACTATAATAATTAGAATTATAACTTTTTTTATTCTTTTATTTTTTTAAAATATTCATATATTCAGATAGTTGCAGAAGCAGCAAGAACTGGTCCCATGCTCCCTTTGCCCAGTTTCTCCCATGGCAGCATCTCATGTTATTACAGTTCAACACCAGAACTGACCTTGATTTTGCGAGAATATAGACATATGCTCATCCATGCACGTGTAAAGCTCCATCTGACAGGACGCAGGACTCTTCTGCCACAGAGGCTCCCTCCTGATGTCCTCTGGGTCACACCTTGCTCTTTTACCCCAACACCTGGCAACCAAGTCAGTTCTCCATCTTATAATTTTGTCATCTGGACAGCATTCTGAAGACAGTAGCAGTCACGTCACAGGAGGTGAACTTTTGGGGTTGCCACTTTCTCCTCACCATATTTTGGTTTTGATTTTAATGGTGCTGGAGATGGAACCCAGGGCCTTCAGCATGCTAGGCAACTGCTCTGCCACTGAGCTATACTCCAGTTCAGAATCAATTATTTTTTTAAAATATTTATTTATTTATTATGTATACAATATTCTGCAGGCCAGAAGAAGGCACCTCATTTCAGATGGTTGTGAGCCACCATGTGGTTGCCGGGAATTGAACTCAGAACCTTTGGAAGAGCAGGCGATGCTCTTAACCACTGAGCCATCTCTCCAGCCCCAGAATCAATTCTTTATTATTATTATTATCTGATATCCAAACGGACTCCTAAGATGACCTAGCTCAGATCTACAAATTGCCATTTGTTCATGACAATCCCCTCCTTTTCTTTTTAAATTTTACAGTGAGTGCTCTATAGCTGAGAGCCAGGCTTCTTGACTCCATCGTGTACCCCTTGGTCTGACCACTACTGCTGTAAAACAACAGCAGCTCAAATCTCAGTCCAAACCTCAGCAGCTCACAACAACCACTTTCTCACTGTCATGGGTCAGGAACTCAGGACAGGCTTGCCTAGACAGTTCCCACTTGTGGCCCCAGAAGTAGGTGCAGTGGTGCTTTCTGGGCTGTGTCCTCTGAAGACTTAACTGGCACGCAGGTGCTGCTAGCAGCAACGGGCTGTGAGGCCTCAAAGGCCAGACCCTATAATACCTAATGTTCACTCAAAGGTCCAAACCGGGCTACAAGGGCACAGACACCAGGATGCCTAGTGACGGTTCTTCTCAGAGCCTCAGAGTCAGACAATCATGTGTCAGTTTTGCTTTGTGTTTTGTCTGAATGTATGCATGTGTGCCATGTGCATGTATGTATGTGTACCGTGTGCATATCTGGTGCTCACAGAAGTAAGAAGAAAGCATCAGCTCCCCTCAAATTTGAGTTACAAATGGGTGTTGGGAGCTGAGCTTAAGTCTCCTTGCAAGAGCAGACGTGTTCTTCACTGCTGAGTCAATGCTCCAGCCCCATATTTATTTTGGCACAAAATATCATATAGACCAGGGTGGACTTGAACACTCCATGTTATGACAGATCCCCTTGAACTCAAGGCTCCTCCTGCCTTGTTAGATTACATGCACTTGCTACCACACCTGCTTGTCTGTAGTACAGGGGAAGGAAGCCAGGTGCTTTGGGCATGGTAGACACTCTACCAACTGAGCAATATCCTTAGTCCTCCCCCTTTTTGAAAACGCAGACTTTCACAATCCTACCCAGGTCTGGGCTTCCATGATCCTCCTGCCTCAGTTTCCTGAGTAGCTCTCACTACAACCCCATGCCCAACCTTGCTGACAGTTTTTTACAATCATTTCCAAATGGACACGACAGCTCATGCCTGGAACTCCAGGACCTGGGGAGCCGAAGCAAAACGACCATGGTGAGTTCAAGGCATCTCATAGAAAGGAAGTCATCACGTTTATGGACATTTACATCTGACATCATGTTTTGAGGGTTCCTCCAGGGTCGCATGGATGAGTGGCTTGTTCCTTGTGACTGTTGAGCTTGCTCTGTCATCTTTCCTTCATGGCCACCTGCTTTTCCTCCAGAGGTGACGCTGTGTGACAGGTGTCACTGGTGGCTTCCAAACGCATAGTTCCTTGTTGGCCAAGCTTGTCTATTCTGATCCCTTACCTCTCTTCCAGCACTTCATAATTTGCAGAGCTGAACTCGTCTTAAAGAGGCTGGGGAGCTGAAGCCTACCTCAGAAAAACTTCCCTGCCAAAAGCAAAGCAAGGTTCAAAGTCTCTCTTAAGAGTCAGTGTAATCTTGTGTGCCTACGGTACCTGCAGCACCGTGAAGGAAGCCATTCTTGACACCGAAGATGGCACACTGGAACATGAAGGGTCCTTGGCGCCAAAGCCATGCTGATGAGTAAACATGGCGGATGCCATCTCTGATCCTTCTTTGGCAGGACATCGAACCACTTGGTGATAAAATCTTGTTTAGTTGGCTTTTCTGTACTTAGCTAAAAGCACCGTGAGGGGCAGGCATCTCTTAAACCTCCACCTAGGCGTGCAGCCTTTGCTGTAGCCCTTCTATGAAGGCTCCGAAGTTTCAAAGTCAGACTTCTTTCAGTCCCAGCACCTGAATTCCAAACTGCCTACAGCTGTGTAGCATTCAAAGGTCCCGTGGTACCTCTGTCTGAACCACCAAGCACTGTTCCTGCCCGGGCCAGGCCGGTCCTCTCTCACCTAACTCTTGACCCTGCCCATCTTCTCCTGCATTTCATCAGAGCGTAGGTTCTACGCTTTCTACCTTCAATCTTTCTGAATATCTATGGCCACTGCTTCTTCTCTGGTTCCCAGCAAGGAGCGTGGGGTCGGTCCCCCTAGTGTTCTGTTTTTCATCCTGGCCTTCATTCTGGAAGCAAAAAGACCTCCCCAGAGCATACAGTTCCTAATACCTTCCTTGCCTTAAACACTTAACAGATCTACCTCCAACAATCTGTATTTAGGCTTTGTCCTGGTTTTGTGGTCTCATTGCCACCAATTCCACACTGAAGGTGTGGTCACATTGTTCAGCTATAAAACCAATAAAAACGCCAAACTGTTTGCTACAAGGTAAAGTGAAATTGACAGCAAACTCACTTCCTGGTATCTGCCAAATGCTATGCTTGGGTCTGTATGAAAAGAAACACTTTTGTCCCAGCCATGATCCTTTTGTCCTCATAAGCCCTCCCACCTTTGTGCCAGGCTGAGGGAGACCAAACCCTCCTCAGGAGTCACACTCCAGCCTGGGCAATTACCCAATGTTCTGCTCCAAGCTGTAACATATTGAAGGGATCACAGTGGAACCAGAGGTCACCCAACCCTCCTGGGGGCCATTGTATGGATCATTCAAAAAAATTCTTCTTAATTTTTCTTTTTCCTTCTGAAACGGTCTCTGTATACATTAAATGCCCTTGAAATCCCTGTTCTTGCCTAGAATGGACTCAGGCTAACAAGCTTAGCTGTGCTCTTGTTTACCTGACTGCACCAAGAATCCTGTTATCATTAGCGTCTTAGAAATGGGCCCCATCCCAGATGCCTTGACGTGGTGGGTCTCCTCGGGTCTCCTACCTTCAGAGGAAGAGGAAGGCCTTGAGTGCTTGGATGTCCCTGCCGCTAACAGCAGGGTGTCGGCAGGTTGATTTAAGGCTTCCATGTCAAGCTGCTTGGACTCCGTTACCATTACTTTCTCCTTAGATTTTGCAACAAAATTGGTAGGGACCGTCTTTTGCTCCTCATCTGAAACACACGGATAATCAGTTAGACCTACAACCCAAGGATGCCTGCTCGGAGGGCGGGCCTGGCCACCAGGCGGCGCCCTTTACCTGTCTTCTCTTTGGGTTTGCTTTTGGACTGGCCCATAGGTGACCCCGCCGCCCCGGCCAGGGAGTCTTGAGGCCCAGTAACCCTAGCGACTCACAAACCAACACGCCCCTTTGGGCGTTCATTACCATGGCAACCGCGTGCCGTAGAAGACGTGCCAAAGCCCCACCCAAGGACCGGCGCCGTCTTCTCGCGAGAGCCGGCCGCGCGACCGGAAACGCAAGCGACCCCGGAAGTCCTCCCGGGCACAACTGGTCCGTAAGATCTCGTCCCCTTCGCCGCCCCGAGGGGTTCACAACCTGACTGGCCATGGACGGTAAGGGGCCGTCACCTACTTTGGGTTCGGAGCGGGATTCTGCGGACACCCCGGCCTCAGCCCCATTACCCAAGAGGACGTGTCCCCGGCCTCAGCCCCAGACCCCGCCCCTGGGCCTGGGACCCACTTGTCTCGACCCTACATCCCGACCAGGACCCGCCTCTTGCCTTAGGTCCAAACACCGATTAGGACTGGGCCCGACTCCGGCATATCGACCAGAACCGGTTTCGGTTCCTGAGCCTTTACATCCTAGCTGAAACCCTCTCCTGGGCTTCCATCCCTCAGACCAACAGGAGCTACCTCGGGTTCTTGACACCAGACCCCAGCCAGTAACTACCCCTGGATCTCGTTCCCTACCCAGATCTCTCCAGGCCTGGACCCCAACCCCAAATTTTATCCAAATGACCTCAGATCCAGGCCCTTCTAGCCATCCTCCCTGTTTGTTTTGTTCCTGCCTTGGGGACCCTGTAATGTCCAGGGACCAGAAAAGGTGCTGGTTGCCTATTTTGACCCCTAAGTAGTACCCCGAGAAATAGGAATAATTCAGATACAAAGGACTTCAAGTACCAAGCGGTAGGGTGTGGGTTCCGTCCTAGTAGCTCCATTTTATAGGCGCTGCATGTCCTGTTCTCCCCTTACCCTGTAACGGTGGGGGGAGTCACCCAGAAGTATGACTCATTTCCGTCTGTCAGTGTTCTGACCTCTAGACTTCTGAAGAATTCCTGAGTGGACGTTGCAGGTTTTATGGGCTGGTGTGATAGAGTTTGTGTTTGTATGAGACAGGGTCTCCCTATGTTGCCTTGGCTGGCCTGCACGTGACTGCAAGTACCAGATTGGCCTTGAACTCAGAGATTTGCTTGTTTCTGCCTCCCCGGTGCTGGCAATGAAGCTGTGAACAGCCAACTGTTTGTGAAACGCAGCAAGCTGTGTGATTGTCGTGGAGGAAACACATAAGAATTCTTTACTCTGTTCCTTGGACAGAAGAGGTAGCGCCCCGGTGTCTCAGCAAAAAAGAATTTTTGCATCACAGTTCACTGTGCTCGGGTGAGGGAACTTTCCTGAAGCTCACATCAGGTTTCTCCAGTCCCACTAGAGTCGAGATGAAAATACAGGTTGAGATGGGAGAGATTTGGCCAGGGTGCTAAAGCTGGTGAGAGAGCTGTGCCACGCCTGGGAGACACTGTTCCTCCTGTCACCGTGCCAGGCGACTCTGTTTCTGAGAGTACCAGTCAACTGTGGCAGCTCTGGCCATAGCTAGTGCCTGCACTGAGTGCTGGCAGGTGGGTAGGTGCACAGTTCACTATGCCCAGGCAGGTCTCTGCTGGGCCTTGTTTTGCATTTACATACCATCAGTGCCTTATTTTGGACCAGTAGGGTAAACCGTTTCAGGAATCAAATACCACAGCATTCTGCAGAGTGGCTCACAACTGCAATGCCAGCTCTTAGGCGCTAGAGACAGAAGGATCCCCACTTTTGACTGCCTAGGGAGTGTGAGGTGAAATCCTGTCTCAAAACGTCAAAAATAAATAAACAAGAAATTGTGTTTACCTGTCTCAAGTTTGTGAATTAATAGCAGACTTGCTTAGCAATTAATTTTTAAAAATACATTTAAATTCCCTCCTTGGCTTACTATGGGCAAAGGGACAATGGGCTGGGCCTGATGCTGTGGCTTAGAAATAACATTTGTCACTGGACAGTGTTGGGCATGCCTTTAATCCCAGCACTCGGGAAGCAGAGTAAGATGGGTCTCTGTGAGTTTGAGACCAGCCTGGTCTACAAGAGCTAGTTCCAGGACAGGCTCCAAAGCCACAGAGAAACCCTGTTTCGAAAAAAGGAAGGAAGGAAGAAAGGATGACCTAAGGCTTACTACCTTACCAGTTTTATCTATTTGTCTCTGGTACGATTAAAGAAAGGAAATACCAAACCAACTGCTGCGGGCTGGAGAGATGGTTCAGCCCTAAGAGCGCTGGCTGCTCTTGCAGAGGTTCTGAGTTCAATTGCTAGCAACCTATAGTGGCTCACAACCATCTATAGTGGCATCTGATGCCCTCTTCTGGCAGAAAGTTGTACATGCAGATAGAGCACTCAAAAGTAGATACATCTTTTTTAAAAAACAAATAAAGTCATTAAAAAGAACAGCTGTTAAGTGCTAAGACTAAGTTTAGTAGTAAAGGCAAAGAATCCCATGTGTCTTTTGTAAAGCTGAAAGAAATGTAAGCCACCATCTCCATTCTGACCATGGACAAGAGCTGCATTTTGAGATAGGCTGGTAACATTCTTGTGTTCCCGAAAACAAGTTTAGTGAGGGTCTTTGTTGGTTTGGAGCCCCTGTCTAACACGGTTCTACTTTCTGACCCCATTGCTGGGCCTTCCAAATGACCCAGGCAAATCCCATCCATGTCTGTCTCCTGTGGGCCAGCTCCTGGCATCTGCAAGGATCTCACTGAGTCCGCTTGCTTGATAGATGTGCTACTTGCTACATTTTTTTAAATGTATTTTTTTTTTCTGTCTTTGCAGATACCCTGTTCCAGTTGAAGGTTTGTACAAGACCACCATTCTTCAGTCCTGTCCTAGCAAACAAGGAAAGAATTACAGCAGCGCTTGGAACCCAGACACCCAGAGTCATGGGCAGATTATCATAGTTGAATGACTGCCCTACAGGGCTCAGACTGCTGCCCAGAGCCATGGTCATTCTTTGATTTTGGCTAAGTAGAAATAGATCACTTAGACTTGTCCGTGAAGACTGAGTGTGTTATCTGTAAGAAACACAACTGGGGTGATAAGCACACGCCTTGGTGTTTTACTAAGCATTTAAAACCACACGCTGAAATTTAAACACACTTGGAGAGTGTTATAGGCAACTGAATGTGCCCCCGACCGGGGAGATCCTTGGATATAACTAATAATCCATGGCATGTTTCTGCCACTTTTAAATGCCTTACAGACGATGATCAGGTTTAACTTTATCCTGTTTATTTTCTTCCTGACTCCAAAGGTCTGGGCACGAGTGAGGTTACAGAGCTGCTGAACCTGGCTCTGCTCCTCTGTCACACTGAGGCTGTCGGGTAGTGGTCTGACCCGTAAAGGGGGTCAGTGTTCAGGCTAGTTTACTAGTGCCAGGACCTGGTCTCCAGCACTTGGAATATGTGGCTGCAGGGGTGGGTATGACATTTTCTCTTGTTGGCAAAGGACTGAGGAAGCTGTATATGCAGAATTCTATAAAGATAGCGTTCAAGATTCACTACTTGGATAGCCTGGAGAAGATTCCCAGGTGAACTCTCTGTGAGTTCAAAGTCTTTCATAAGCAGGGGCAGCATTGGTGATTGGTGAGAGTTTCCTTGCTGGCCTTCCGCTCTAGAAGAGAATATGGGTTGGGGTGTTCTTAGATGATGGACATATTTAGGATGCCCACTGTAGCCGCCTCCTGGCTCACTGGGCGGGGGGTGTTCTTTCCTGATGCTATTAAAGTCTCCCACAGCCCACAGGAGTCATCAGGACTTAGGTTTTGATGCTTTGTGCCTCATCCCTGGGTAAAGGATGGGCAGAGGCAGGAGGTACAGGGAGCAGGGCCTAGAGGGTGAGATCCACCTGCGAATCTCAGGATGTCGTTCTTTCCACTCAGTTCACAGCGAAGCAGCTAGAGAAACTGGCCAAAAAGGCAGAGAAGGACTCCAAGGCTGAGCAGGCCAAAGTGAAGAAGGTGTGTAACCTTTCTGGTTTGGGTTCTTCTTCCCCAATCCCCTTTATTTTATTTTACTTCATTTATGTTATTTTTGAGATTGAGTACTGTGGCCCAGGTTGATCTGGAACTTACTCTGTGTCCCAGTTAAAATCAAACTTGAAATGTTCCTACTTCAACCTTGTAATTGGTAGGATTTCAGGTGGGAAGCACCACAGCCAGCTTTGTTTCCCTTTGTGTTGCTGTAATGTCTTCTTTTTGTGCAAGACACTTCCTACATTGTGATTTACCTCGCTGATTTCAGAGTATTGATGCACTGGCTTTCATACCTGAGACAGGCGAGCCTGAGGGAAGGGCAGTAGCCCTCCTCCTCCCCTCCCACAGTGGTGTCCAGTGTAGAACATCTATGTGGACTCCACTCCTTCCTTCCTCCTCCAATTTGTAGCATTCTAGCTGTCCCTGCTCCAGTGTCATCATTTTCAAATGACTTTCTTTCCTATAGGACGGGAGAATCGGGACCTGGGCAGAGGCATTGATACTGTGGGTGGGGCTACAAAGGTTGGGCAGGGAGTAAGTTCACTGGGGTGTTTGCAGGAAGTGGCCTTCTGCCTAAAGATAGACAGAGCAGAAGGTGAAGTAGCATGACTGTCCTCAGAGCAAACCTTCAGCTAAATCCTGTGCAGCTCTTTAGTGTTGCTTCAAGGCAGAGTAGCTGCAAGGCTATGGCTATTGCTCGCACATTTCTGAGGTTTATACCTGGGGAAAGCAGAAGGTTGCCTACACTACCTTACCCTGGAGAGATACACACGCTTACTTACGAGTTGTCCTCCGTGAACATTTCCCTATGAATCTTAGGCCCTTCAGCAGAAAAATGTGGAGTGTGCCCGCGTATATGCTGAAAATGCAATCCGCAAGAAAAATGAAGGTGTAAACTGGCTCCGGATGGCGTCCCGTGTGGATGCAGTAGCATCCAAGGTACAGACAGCTGTGACCATGAAGGGGGTAAGTGCTTGACCATGGTGCCATGTGGCCAGCATGTGTTGTAGGGTACAGTGAGCAGAGGGAAGCTGAACCAGCAATGAGCCTAGGTATCGAGGAGTACTGCACACAGAAAGGTCTTAGGAAAGCCTGGGTTCCATAACATCAT